CCAAATCCCTCAGCACTCTGGCTGTGGTGTGAAAGTCGACTTTTTTCCCCCAAAGCCTTTTGTTCACCAGCTTCCTTCCCAATCTTAAACAGTACTTCCTCAGGATTGTCTTTATCCTTTACGTTTCTTCTGAATTCTAAACTTACGAAAATCAGGGTATTTTCAAGTTAACACTATCTCTTGCTCCTTCCCAGATCCTACATGTATTAGGTATGCAATAAATTTGTTAAAGAAACCACATTTTGGATTGTTGAGTCACCTCTGCAGAAAAGGGGTCGTCTAGTCTCGTGCTTAAATCTCTACTACGTCGCTATTCATCCATCGGTAAGTACTGTGGACCAGTTTAGGGAAGGAGAGGATTCTTGGTGACAACTGAATGTTTCCCTTGCCAACAAAAGTTTAAAGGAGGCGAGGAGTCTACCCCAAATCTATTCATTGGTGTACCCCAAGTGGAAACACACCGGTCTCTCCCAGGCCAGCCCTTCTGTCTTTCGCAAATGAGTAGACCCAGCGACCGGGTACAATTGCCTTTGGGGCCCCTTCTTTTCACTGCAATGCCGAAATGCGGAAGCCTAAGCCAGGTTTCACGGACGAGCTGCCGACCAGGCCTGAGCGCCTTCCCAGGGACCGTACCACCGCCGGGCGGAGAGGACCGTCGCGGGCCGCCCCACCGAGTATGCGCAGGCCGGGNTTTATTTGTAAGTGTACCACGGGCTCCAAAACAACACTTCATTCTAGCTATACGTGGCAAAATATGTTATGGCAGTGAATCCAGAAGTTTAAATAAGAATGGAATCAAGAATCACTAGGGTCAGACACAAGGAATAGTTTGGTTTTCGCCAGATTTCTTCATTTTTTTCTGAAGTTGGCTGGTATGGGGATCCGAACCCTCGAAGTTGGTGTTATGAACGTCGTGTTCTACCCAACTGTCCCCGAGAGCCGCCCCCTCAAGTCAAAATAAAAAATATTTTTAAAAAGGCTCCTTGATGGATATTGGACTTGAGTGAAACTTGCAGGAATAGTAGTAGTATTTGGACTGGAAGGAAAGGTACAGGTGACAGATACCTCAACTGGAGCTGTCCTACTTCTCGCTAAGATTGATTGGTTTGTTTCTTATTGTGGCTGGCCGGTATCGGCAGGCAGCCGGACTTGGGTTCAGTAACAGATCTGGGGGAGCCTCAGCCAGGAGCTGAGTACCCTGGGTAACAAGTCCATTATCATTTTCATTTATTGAGAGTCCACAAAATTCTCACCATTCAAATCCAGGACAAGAATGATAAAAAACAAACAAACAAACAAACAAACAAACAAAAAAACAGTACGACTAAGACACCAAATCCCTCAGCACTCTGGCTGTGGTGTGAAAGTCGACTTTTTTCCCCCAAAGCCTTTT